TCAGCTCCCGCGTGGTCGCTTTCGTCCCGTAGGCTCGCCACCCGCCCTGCACGATGTCGTACATGTTGCCGCACTTGCACAATGGCTGGCAGGTAGACCAGGCCATCCTCTCGGAAGAGGACCGAGTCGTGGTCATCCGCTTTGGGCATGACTGGGACCCGACCTGCATGAAGATGGATGAAGTCTTGTACAGCATTGCTGAGAAGGTAGACTGGGGCTGTAACGTCAGGCGGTTGTTTTCTGCACTCAGTGTTTCAAAGGGCTTATACAAAGCCTGAGGCAGGTTATAACTCGGTTTCTGGAGAGGTATTCCAGCTTTAGGAGGCACCGAGAAAGCTGGTTGCTTTCATGAGTGACTTCTAAAGTCATTGGCTGCCCTGGTGTTTGTAGTATTTAATGGGGTGAAATGAGTGTTGCAAATTACAAAATCAAAATCGCCTGTTAATAATTCATCATTAAATGAACATCAGCATTCAAGCAGAAACAAGCATTTGATAGTAGGGCTGCTGTGGTTCTAGATAATGCAACTGTCACTTTACAGCAAGAAGGTATAGTAGCTTCAAATTTCCTTTTGAGCAACTTGAAAAGTTATTTTCATTTTGACTGTTAAAAATGGTGTCATCCTGATGTACAGGATGGTGTTGATTAACCTGTCAGTGATATTTTTTGTGGAGACAGATGGCATTTCATTGCGTTGCATGAGCTGAATTAAACTTTAGGAGCCAAACTCTGAAGCTATTTTCAGATGGAAACCAAATGCCTGTTGAAAGCTGCTCACTCACTTAGGGAAGGCAGATCTTGAAGAAATCTTGGACTATTAACATACAGAATTAGCTATAATTTACCTTTGCATGTATTTGGTAAAGGTTTTGTGTAGTGATAGATGTAGGAAATTGATAGCTCTTATTTAATTGAATTGCATAGAAAATGATGAAAAAAAAATCTGGACCAAAACCAGTAACTTTGATAGGAAAAGGAGTTGACTATCTTAATGTAAAATTGTGTGCATACTGCATAACTTGACATCGAGTTCTTTCTGTGGTATACACCTTTCTGGTTTAGTGCTATTTTTAAGTAAATGGACTTCTGTCTAAAAAATCTCTACAATGAGAGCTCTATACCTATAGCTAACTGTTAAAACGTAATAGAATACAGTAAGGAGTTGTGACATGGTTTTATTTAGTTGTTTTGTGTTTAACATGTTGGGAGTGTCTTATGCTCAGGTACTGTAACTATCAACTTTTGGCAGGATGTTTGGCAATTCAGCAGACATATTGCAGTTAGGGGTGACTGGGGGAAGAAAGAACAATATAACTTCTTATTTAAAAATCTCCCTCTGCAGAAATGGCAAATTAAAGAGGGAGATCCTTCCTCATCTTCTTGCTTACAAGCCATGTTTGGATCTCTGCTGTTTTAAAGAGTGAGTAAAAGTTCCAATTGTACAGGTGTTAATACGAGACAATAATACAGAATGTTAACATGCTGTAACTGCATGCTACATTTGAAGAAAATGTAGCCATATTTTACATTTGTTACCATGGTGCAATATTCTTTCAATCTGCCGCATATTTTCCGGTAGCAGTGATACTTATCTGTACTTTACAATAGGAAAATGTTAACTTTTCAGTCTGAATCCTCTTTGGAGAAAGGAAACTAGAACACTGTATGAAAATACAAAGAGGATTATTTTCACTGAAATGTACTTCGCTTAAAGTAGAATTTTCCCTTCCACCCCTGTGTTAAATGAAAAAGAAGCTAGGTTTCATTCAGTGTCAAAACAAATGACAGACATTTGTAAGATGTTAGATTTTTGCTTTGTCAGGGTTTCAACCAAACAGCTAAGAATTAAGTTTCAGAAAACTCCTCTGAACACCTTTTCTAAAAGCATACATTTTTGTTGTTGTTTTTTGTTTTTAAGGAGGCTCACAGTTATAAAACCCTATCCCCTGAAATAAAGGCCTTTGGCTGCTAAATTACTGTAATGCCCCATATTTAGGAAATACTTTAAACCCATGGTTTATCTAGGACTGAGTACTGTAAATCGGATAACCTCTTGTGAAACCAGCTTACTTCAATCAATAGGTTGTGTTGGGTCAGTGTGGGTTTAGGGAGGATTGTTCAAATGTTCTGCATTTATTTAATTATAATCAGAAGTGTGAATAGCTGTGGCTTTTGCTCAGACATTAGTTGCGCCTCTGCCTTTCTGCTAAGGTTAGGTGAATGAAAAGTGAGAAAGGAAAAGAAGGGGGGGCAGGGAGGAGGGAACTAAAAAAAAGCATATTGGTATTATAGTTACTGGTGCTTGTAATTAAAGTTGAGCAAAGCTAATCCATTTACTTATGTCTGTAGTTTTCAAAATTACTAGCTGTAAGCATTTCTGTCAGCAGTATAATGTATTTCCTTTTTCCCTAGGAAATTTATCACCTAAACTTACAGCAAAATTAGCAAGAAAAAAAAATCAAATATATATAGTACAGACTCTCAAGTTTGTACTGTGTTTGCAGCCTCTTTCAGTTCAGTAATGCAAGCTTGCTAGCCACCTTCAACTGGAATGTTTTGTTGCAAAGGCTAATCTCAGTTCCTGTATTTCCTTGTCCATAAAGACATATAAACATAAAAAACATTGTCTGAAAACTGGTTGACAAGATGAGAAGATAGAATCTTGTCTCGTCTCAGGTTTGCTTAGGTATTTGCTGTATACACTTTGGGCCATAGGGTAATGTTAAAGTTGTGAGATTTGCTTCTAAAAGGAGCTGAATCTTAACAACAATAACAACAAAGTATTACTTACCCCTAACAGAAATTTAAAGAAACTTCATGAATGTTGCCATTCTTCCTAGTTATTGATCATATTGCTGTGATAATCTCATGTTGTAGGAATGCATTAATTCTTTTTTGAATGGCATTCCTAATGAAGAAAGGCAGGAGGGAAAACTGTGGAGGAAAATGTGATTTACTTCATCTGGCATATGATTTTTTTTTTTCTACATCTGTGTTTCCTATTTACCAGCTAAATGTGTGAACTTTATCAAGACAGGACTAAAGAATCTGTATCTGATGTTAAGAATCCTATAGATCTGCTGTATTTTAGTGTATGTTACAAGGTTAAGTACTTTGCGAATGAGCTTGTATTATTATGTGTTTGACTTCTAAAATACCACAAGGTTTTTTTGCATATTTTCTGGGCAGTAAAATTTTGGTTTACGTTAATGACATTAATATAGTCTCAATTGTTGCAACTGCTTTTATTTAGTGTGGTTTGCTTTCTCCGAGTTCTATTTAATTCTTGTTCTGAGGCCTCCATAGTATATCACTAGTTATAACTTCAAAAGTCAGAAAGAGAACCTTTTAGCAGCCACTGCCTTGAAAAGGTAGCAAGCTTGTTGTGCGTAAGAATGTAGTTTTTTAAACTGACAACTCTATCTGGGGAGTAGATTCATATCCCAAAGGATGCGGAGAGGTTAATCTTTGGTTTGTCTCCACAGACTTACTAGTTTGCATATAGATCTAACTCCTACATCCATACCAGCCTGAATCCATACATACGTAAAACTGCTTTTGCTTAAAATGAAGCCTAAAGTAAAGCCTTGTGAATCGGAGCTTTATGTATGTGTATGAAACCAGCTGGGATGTTGCTCTATACTGCTGTGAAGCTGGCTCAGTACTTCTGAATCTTGGCTCTAATATGGTATGGGAGGTGCTCCAGCCCCCTTACCATCCTTGTGGCCCTCCTCTGGACTTGCTCCAACAGCTCCATGTCCTTTTTACGTTGAGGACACCAGAATTGTACACATTACTCGAAATGGGGTTTCATGAAAGCAGTGTAGAGGGCCAGGATCACCTCCTTCGACCTGCTGGTTGCACTTTTGATGCAGCCCAGAATATGGTTGGTTTTCTGGGCTGCAAGCACACACAATGAAGCTGGCTTATGGTGAGCTTCTCATCAACCAACACCCCAAGTCCTTCTCTGTGGGGCAAAGACTAGTTTTGCTAGTTTGGGTCAGGTCTCCTGTGTCTGCTTCCTCCCAGCTTCTTGTGCTCCTCCTCACTGGCACAGCATGAGACTGAAAAGTCCTTGATCGGAGTAAACATTACTTTGGCACAACTGAAAACATCAGTGTTTTATCAGCACTGTTCTAAGACTGAAGTTGAAAACACAGCACTGCACCAGCTACTAAGAAGGAGAAAAATACCTGCTGCAGCTGAACCCAGGACAATATCCACTCCTTATTCCATACCATTCACATCATGTTCAGATCCCACATTTTTCAATATACCATTGCTTTTGTCTCATTCATACACACACAGAGATATCATTCCTTAGTCCATGGACCAATCCCTATAAAGCTGCTGAATTCATCCAATCCATGATGTCAGGCTCCATCTCTTGTAACAGTCTTTCAGGGCAGGAGGGACAGTGTGTAGTGTTGGGTTGTTGCCTGCTGATGATACTACTGAATTCGTTTGGTCACTGCTGAGCTCATCTGCTTTCATCAAAGTTCATTCTTTGTTGGGCAATGATTGGAGGGAAGTCAGGGTCAGTCGATGGTGACCTGAGGACAGTTCTGCTGCTGCTGGCTTTTCCCATGACTTTGTTCTCTGATGATGATCATGACAGCACATAGTTTCTTTTCAAAGCCCGGAGTGGTGGAGATGGGCATCTATCTGATGGGCTATAAAAGTGTTATCTAGCAGGCAACAGCATATAATTGAGTTCATTGGCTGTTTTCCCCCAAAATTAAATCCCCTTGAGGTACACATCGGACTTCCTCATCTTCCCACATTACCCACCAAGTATATCCGGGTCCCTGAGCAAAAGCAACCCCACAAGTGGGTTTGCCTTTACCTGAAATAGAAATAACCCAGACTGTCTTTCCCAACAAATTCTTTATGTGCACCACAGGAACTTTATCCCCCTCTACAGTACGTAAAAGTTCTGATTGGGCTGGGCCAGCCCTGTTGGCAGATCCCCTCGTGTTGACCAACCAGGTGGCTTTTGGTAAATGTGTATCCCAGTGTTTGAAAGTCCCACCACCCATTGCTCTCAGTGTAGTTTTTAACAGCCCATTGTACCGTTCGATTTCCCCAGAGGCTGGTGCATGGTAGGGGATGTGATAGACCCACTCAATACCATGCTCTTTGGCCCAAGTGTCTATAGGTTGTTCCAGAAATGAGTTCCATTGTCTGACTCAGTTCTCTCTGGGGTGCTGTGTTGCCACAAGACTTGTTTCTCAAGGCCCAGGATAGTGTTCTGGGCAGTGGCGTGGGGCACAGCGTATGTTTCCAGCCATCCGGTGGTTGCTTCCACCATGGTAAGCACATAGCACTTGCCTTGTCGGGTTGGCGGATTGTGAGCAATTGTATTGTGCATCACTTGTGTTTATTGTTTTCTTTTCCTTTTCCCCTTTTAGTTTTATATTCTCTCCCCTTGTTATTCCCCTTATTACTATTATTGGTGGTAGCAGTAGTGGTTTGTATTATACCTTAGTTACTGGACTGTTCTCATCTCAACCCGTGGGATTTACACTCTTTTGATTCTCCTCCCCATCCCTCCAGGAGTTAGGGGGGAAGAAAGTGGGGAATGAGTGAGCAGCTGCGTGGATCTGAGTTACCAGCTGGGCTTAAACCACGACACTAACTTCAAAAGTTTTGTTGTTCCTGTGCTGTGTGTTGTACAGAGTTCTTGGAAGTAATCTTTTAGTTTAGCAGTGCTTTTGTAGTGGTCTTCTGGTGCAACATATAATCACCTTGGACTAATCTTTCAGTGAACAGAGGGGGTCCGAAGAATGTTGTATTAATGCTTAGTGTAACTTAATTAAATAATTGTTCAAAGATTGTGTAGTTTGTTGGAACTGCTGAATGTGTTGTAGAAATTCCCCCGTGTGGCAAAGCTGTGCTACTGTTGCTGAAAATGCCAGCAGGATGGAAGAAATGATAGGAGTAAATGAAAATGGTTCTTAAAGTTTTGGGTTTAAAAAACAACCCAAAATGACAGGAAACAACTGTCTTTTGCCTCCTAAGGCTAACCAGGGAGTAACTTCAGCCACTTCTCAGCTAAATTGTTGACTCTGAACATTCCCTGAAGCTTCTTAGAAATCTTTCACATAAAACTGAAATGGGCACGAATGATCACTTCAGAGGGTGTTGATATTATGACTAATTCAGATTTTCAAGGCTTTCCCTCTTGCCTATTTTGGAACACTGTTAAATGGGATGTTTTCATTGGATTGACAGAGTCTAGGATTATAACTGGCTCCATAAAAGCACACTAAGAACTATTTTAATGCTGTTTCACCTCAGAAGAAATTTTCTTTTCTTCTCTAGTAATACTTACATCTCCAAAGTGTGATTATTTTTTATAATTTATGAACTCTCTTGAAGCAGAATTCCATAAAAATTTATTTACTGGTTTACTGGTGCATCTGGGTTTGTGGTTTATTTGTTTGGAGTTTTTTGTAATTAAACATCTTCATACTTTCTCAATTAAAATGCCTGCTAGGACGTTTAAGTATAGGGTACACCATATATAAAATTCTTCTGGTATAGTCTAATCCTCTTTTGTGGACTAAAATAAAATATCTTTACATAAGCAGAAATTACACTCATCGTAGCATTTCCAGACATTTGATAGCATATTTAACAAGTGGGAAGTACTGTGACAAACAGTAAGTTTGTCATAAATCTTAAATCACATGTGTTAATTTCAGGATGGTAATTTTGCATAGTCAGATGGAAAGGACTGAAATTGTATGCAAGTAAGGATGGAGTGAACAAAGCTGTGCATTCATGGTTTAATGCATGAGCATTCGATAATACACCTTACAGTTAAATGCTTGTGCAATTTCAGATGCATACTGACTTATATTTTAATATGTGTGTTAATTTCTACTGTACATGTATAAGCTAAGCTTAGAAACTAAAACTTCCTGTAATTCTACTTCAGGTCAAATATGCTACATCTAGGAAACAAAAATGTGACATGGTTTTCTTTCAGGAATGAAGTCATTAACTATGACATTAAAGGGGATGGATTCTTGTGCATTTACTCAGTAACTCTGCAAAATGAAAGCCTGTTTTATCAGAATTGCTCAGAGAATAGCTTCTCATTAAGATCTTTTTTTCATTATCAATTACATTTTTAAGCTCCAGTTCTAGCTTTACACCTCAGAAAAGCTGTTAGGTTTTATTATTAAATTTATCAGGTTTCTTTTCACTTTAAGAGTCTTGTTAAACAAATTAGATCATTTAAAGGGGAAAAATGCTTGGAGGCAGGCACTAGAGCATTTTAGATCATTAATTTTCTGAAGTCTATAAGCAACTGATGACAGAGGCAACATGTGTCAGCTTGGCTTGCACAAAGCAGTTATTCTACTTGTTTAGAGCTGTGAATGTCACTGTGAGCTCTCAGTTACATATAAAAGGTCATTTGTTTCTCTGGGTGCTGATTTAGCATAGTGTCTTTCCAATTGATGCTGGATGTGAAATGAGCATCTTGGCTATATTAAAAATATTTCCTATGTTAATTGGTGGTTGTGGTTGAAAGTAATGGGAAGACTGTTGTCTACTGTGATTTTATGACTTACTATTTTGGAAAACATGGTACAATAATGAAAGTTTGTCTTTTAATTGGTAATACCAATAATCAAAATCTTGGTTATATAATACTTTGGTATTTCCTGTCTTCTGTTTAGGTAAAAAACTTTGCTGTTATTTATCTTGTGGATATCACTGAAGTACCAGACTTCAACAAGATGTATGAGTTGTACGATCCCTGTACCGTCATGTTTTTCTTCAGGTACATGGTGGTTCTAGAATGTAACTCAGTTAAATTTTTGGTGTGTCAAATACAGTAAATGATTTCCAAATACATATTAGTATACTGATGTTTATATTTTCATTGCTCTACAAAAAGAGTAAGCCAATTAAATAGGAAAATGGCTTGATTTCCAGTTAGCCTAGTAACTGTTTTGAAGGTAGAGTACAAATTGGTGATAGTGAAAGCTGGTTTTATTATCCATTGTTTTGAGTTTTACATCTGAAGCTCCTTGTATAGAATACTGCAGTAATATGGCAGTCAAGCTTGTCAAACTTGCTTTAAAGATATACCCAAAGCATTAAGTTGTTTTTGGAGCTACAGTATATACATTGATGAGACATAATGTGCCACTGACAAGCGTAAAACTCTCCTTGATGTTAGACAGTAGTGGGAAAAAAATACAGACAATAAGGAATATGCTAAAGGATAATTGCACTGAGTAGCAAGCCTGGGAGCATGTTTGCAGTCTTTATTCTAGCTTTAGAAATAGTCTATTTGAGTGAGAGGAGTAGATATTCTTTCTTTGAGATTATTTTACAAGCTCATTTATGTTATAAAGGCTTCATTTGAATCCTACAAAATGTTCTTGTGGGTGATAGAAAGTTTCTGTCTGAATTATAATACCATATTGACTTTTCTTTTTTCTTTCTCTTCCTCTAAAGGAACAAACACATCATGATTGATTTAGGTACAGGTAATAACAACAAGATCAACTGGGCAATGGAAGATAAGCAAGAGATGATTGACATTATAGAAACTGTTTATAGAGGAGCCCGCAAAGGTCGAGGTTTGGTGGTATCGCCAAAAGATTATTCCACTAAATACAGATACTGACATTTCTTTGGAGCTGCCTTTTTTTTAACGCTACATCCACTTAAGTTTATTCTTGTGTATGTGTACATATATTTGTATGTATATATTAAAAAAACCAAACCTAAAAATCCTTCAACTTTGAGCATATTTTGAATTATTTAAAAGGCTTGAATTCCATTTGGAAAAGGAGAAGATGTGAAGCCTGGAACTTGTCTGACTGCAGTAGTACTTACTGTAGATTAATTTTGAGTTGTTGGGGGTTTTTTTATTTTTTTAAAGACTTCACTCTGTGGTGTCCTTTTGGCATTATGTATTTTTGTACACAAAAAGCCTGTTTGCAGAAAATAATTTCAACTGGTTTTGTTTTCTTTTGTTACATAAATAGATGGGAAGACTATACTACAGCTTTTTATAAAAAAATAAAGTGAATTCCACTTATTCACCTTAATTTTCTTTAGCTAATTAGATTTGAGAATGAAAACTAACTGGATGCAAAGTCATAATGTTGAAGATAAAAGCTCATCACTTCTGTCAGAATGTTCTTGCATAGTACCTTGGTCTTCTGTATCCACTAAAAATAGAATAAAACACTAAGATGCATTTATCAATATTTAGCTCAGAGAAAAAAAAACCTTAGAGAAAACATCTTCCTGTGTGCACACAGTACCCCTAATCAACTTAATTGATTTGTGGTGATGGACTTCTTTTTTTATGATAATTATGCATAAGGTAGTCATTTGGAAGTACTTGGTAGATTCTGCAGTGCCAAAGGGTAGTTGCAGTTCTGGAGCTGGCTGCATAGTCAACAGTTGAAGAAAGGATGAGTTATGCTTTCTCTTATTTGACCTCAAGTTTGACTGATGGTATACTAAAATGCATATATATACACTCATGAAACTTGGATTTGATTACGCTGTGGCATGACTTTTGAATTTTTCATTTCTGACCACTTTAGTTTTTGTGGTAATGAAGCCAGTAGTGTTTGGGTGGTTTTGTTTTTCTGATACATGCATATTTATGGAAAGAAGAAGAAACAAGCCAGACTATGCAGAAGGGAGACAGAAACTGGACCAAAAGTCCAGATCACAAGACAAAGTCAAATATGCTTTTTTTTCCTGTAAAGTGCATTTTTTTTAGAGGATTTAGAGTAAGTTGGGGAAGTAAAACACAGGTTCCCAATTTCTGTGTAAGTTAATCTGGTTTACAGTTGTTATTAAGTATGGAATCATGTTGGAAGGGGCCATCTACCTCCCAAAGTAAATGCCACTTGATCAGGTTGCCTAGGACTCTTTCCAATGTTGAGTATCTTAAGAATGGAGATTCCTCAGCCTTTCTGGAAAGTCTGTTCTGCTGCTGGAGCACCTTCATGCTTGGGAAAAAAGCGTCCCTTGCATCTAGCTGGAATTTTCTGCGTTCCAGCTTGTGGCTGTAACTCTGACGTAGAACACCTCCAGCAGGAGTCTTAACTGTTCCCTGTGCTTTACCATAGGGTAGCTGTTGCCAGCAAGAAGCCAGTGTCTTTTTTTTTTTTTTTCCTTTTTTTATTGTAATGCTGAACTACTGGCATTTCTCAAACCCTTGTATGCTTTGTACTTCACCATATTCTGGTGGCTCTCTGTTTAAATCCCCCCATAACAATATATTTCCTGAACTGGGGAGCCCCCAAACTAACACAGTGTTCTGGGTATGGTCTCACAGGAGTTGAACAGAGGGGAATGACCTGCTGACCAGCATGTGGCTGCAGCTCAGGGAACTCTGCTGACTCATGTTAAACTTGTCTGCCAGACTCCCCTCCTTTCCTGCTGCATGCCTGCCAGTCTCTCACAGCTACCCTGCAGCATAAGCTTACCCTGTCCCCGGGGTGAGGCTTGGCACTTGCCTTTAAACTTCATGAGGTTCCTGTCAGCCCATTCCTTCAGCCTGTCCTCAAGGATTTCATCTTTCCCCTCCTCCTCCCCAGTTTGACATTGCTAGCCAATCTACACTGATTAAAGCACCAATGAGTTCTTTATATTAATGAAGAGTCTTTAATATATGCTAAATAGTAACACCTGCTGAAGTTTTAAAAAATATCCTTTATTTGTTGAAGTAATGTATTTCTATTTTCTTCAATTTCTATTCTAATTTCTTCAGGTTTTTTATTCTTTCTTCAATTTCTACATTTGTTGTAAGAGGTCCCATTAAGTTTCAAACAAAATCTTTCCTGCAAAAAGTGTGAATGTTTTGGTGTACAAAAACCTTAAAGTTAGTGCAGATTTCCTGTTTCCTTTGATTCTGCCATGTCTTGTTCAGGACATGTTTGGTAACTGGAATTCCTTATCTATGTTAAAGCCTCTAAAATAGGCTTTTCATCAAAATGTCTGTTAAATTAAATTGGCACAATATGCATACCTGGATGATGTTATGGGCACAGGTGTGCACAGCTCTGGGTGAGCTTGTGAAAACAGCTGTACAACTAATCTGTGCAAATACTGCCATTTCTTTTAGTGCAGGACAGGTTATATGCGTTGGATCTATCAAGTTTTGCAAAGACACCTTTGTAATAACATCAAATAAAGTACATTTTGTAGTGTAAAACATTTAAAGAAGCATCAAAATGGCACAAGCAAAAGGAAAAATTTTGTCATAGAGGATCTTGTTATTCTGAGAACACTTAAAAAGGCAACAAAGAAATAGGAACATTTTAATACTATTGAAATAAATTAAATACATTTTCATATATTGGAAAAGTTAGTGACTGGATAAGTTCACTATGTAGGATATAGTTTTCTATCCTTCCCTGGAACTAATTGTTCTTTATTACAGGAAATACAAGGTCCCATTTAGATGAATAAACCCAGCTTTCTACAGGACGGTAGGGTTTGGGGGTTTTTTGGTTTTTTTTGGTTTTTTTTTTTTTTTTAAGAGATGACTATCATGATATGATGCAAGCATGTTTGTTTTCATTAACACTTTTCATGACTAGTGACACTCATTGTGAACTCCCCGATCCAGTGTGGTGCTCTCTCCCTTTGTCTTTCTTGATTACATCCTCATTTCACTGCTGCAAGGAAACAATAAGTAGGTTAGTGATTTAATTATTCATGAATGTGATTCAGCATAAAACCAGGAAGATTTCTGTACAGTTAAGTACATCTTCATGGATTTGCTTTCTGTATTTCTGAAAATTATTTCATAGCTTAGCACAAAAAATAAAAGCCATCAGAACAAATATATGCTTAAAGTATTTTAGTAAATTTACATTTCTGTCTTTGACTGGGTAAGCAGTCTAAATGACAAAAAGTAGCTGATGCATCAGTTTGAATCAGGAAAGCATGCAACAATAGGAAGACAACCTCACTGGCACCTACAGAACATGGAAGCAATACTGTCGTGTAAATACTAAGCACACCAAGGCATCCATCAGGGAGTGAGTGGGGGTGGTATTTGCAGCAGGCAGCGATATAAAATCCAGCACGCAATCCTGAACTGCAGCATGATCTTACATTACAGGCTATCTGACAATACCACTGAAACTATCCTTGCTTCTTCCACCCCTCATCTTAACTGCTGCAAGGACAAACTACTGCTGTGTTCGGGGTGAATGTATTTAACTGGTGTGCTCTGAACCATGTTGGGAAGCTCAAGCAGGTTTAAAAGCAGAGGTATATAAATTTATACCAGTGAGAATCCTCAGCCAGCTAGGTTAGCATACTTAAGGGACAGGAACGGTGGGCTAGAGTGCTTTAAGCCACGTGGATTTTATTCCAAATGTATAGCCTCAGGTTTTATGTTTGGGATTAGTATGCACTAATGTGCATATGGCACTCAGCTGGAACAAATACAGCAAGCTACTTTTGCTTTTGAAAAACTGGTAGCATTCTTTGTTCTTGGCAAGAAGAAAATCCAAGGTAGTTATAATTTTGGTTTTGTTTTTTTGGGGTTGGGGTGGTTTTTTTTTAATTGCAGTATACTTTAAATCCAAGTAAGTACAAGGTATGATTACTATATTACACAGTATTTTCATGCAGGTGCTGCCCATAGTTCAAAACTAAGTGGAAATACATAAAACACAGTAAAAAACAAGTTTCATTACTCTGACCTCTTTACTGGTGTTTTCTATCCCAGCCTCTGTCATCAGGTCAGCAACATGCTTCTCAAGGTCATCAATGCGCTCGCCCATTTCTTCCAGTAAAATGTTAAAGATAACTTATTTATAAATCTAGAGTAAGGCTTTTTCTTCTGTGAGAAAAACAAGCAGCTTTCTCACAGATATCTCAGCCTCTTCTTTTAATGCAAGAGGAAGCATGCACAAGGTTGTATGCCCACTTCCTCTTGCAACAGATAGAGAGAAGCATTCAGGTTCCAAGTATTTTCAAATGCCTTCCTGTATCCCCATGTGTGAACTGGAGTATTTTCTGTGTAAGAGATTGCTTGCTTTATGAGGAACTGGTTTAGGTGACTCCATACAGCCAACCTACACAATCAGAATACAAGTGCTGCTCATATTCTGATTACATAAAACATTATACTCGTATTCATAAATCAAAGAATGTTTTGGGTTGGAAAGGGCCTTAAAGATAAGGCCCAGCTCCAACCACCTTCCACTAATATTCTGATCATATAAAACATAATTATTTTCTTGCACTAAAGCAGCCACTTCCTGAAAGGTCGAGTTTCAGGAAAAATGTAAAATGTAATAAATTCTCCATTTCAGAAAACAAAGGTAGTTTCTGCAAGTGCTTCTAATGAGCAAGCTCAAGAGCCCCTTCAGGTGTAATTTTCTAGTTTTGAGCGCTCACCTTCCTGTGCTCAGGAGGTCTTTTAGTAAAGCCTTTTTTAGGGTTTACTGAGAGTAAAGGTTAAAAATAAACTGGCTTTGGGGGCAATTCGCCTGCCTTTACATCATAGTTTAGCAACATCAGTCATTACATGTTAATTTGATGGCTAGGAAAAAAAAAAGCGCGCTCAGACGTTAAAAGGCAAAGCCCCTCTTCACATCAGTGTGCACGGGGGGAACCACAGCCGTAGGAGCCCCCGCGGGGCTAAGTAACCCGACCCGAAAGAGGATATTTCTCAGCGTTATCTTTTCAGTCAGAGCTTGGAAATTCTCCTGCAGCTGATACAGCAGGTTTTCCGCCTGCGGGTGAAAAA